AACAGCTGGATTAGGTGAGCAAAAAGGGACTTATCCCCTGCAATGCAAGAAGAAGCTGTACTAAGCTAGTCTCAGCTGGATGCCTCACTTTTTTGCATATGCAAAATGCAGGACAATGTAGCACTTTAAAGACTAACAAGATGGTTTATTAGATGATGAGCTTTCGTGGGCCAGACCCACTTCCTCAGATCAAATAATGGAAGAAAACAGTCACAACCATATATACAAGGTAGATCCTGGATTGACTTAGAGTCAAAAAATGATCTTATTCTTGAAATGGTTGCAGACCACTGCTATAGATGGGTGAATGCAGTTGGGATTGGTCCTGCTTAATTGGGATTGGTCCTGCCTTGGGCAGGGGGCTGGACTTGAGGGCCTTCTAAAGTCTCTTCCAGTTCTATGATTCTATGAGAGGGGGAGTAGCATTTGCAAAAATTCTTCTGAATAAACTCCCCCTTCTGTTCTGTAATGTGATTTGTCCTTTTCATGTGTGTTCATTTTTTTTTAAATTGTATCCTTTGGTATATATGGTTGTGACTGTTTTCTTCCATTATTTGATCTGAGGAAGTGGGTCTGGCCCACGAAAGCTCATCATCTAATAAACCATCTTGTTAGTCTTTAAAGTGCTACATTGTCCTGCATTTTGCTTCAGCTACCCCAGACTAACACGGCTACATCTCTACCACTTTTTTGCATATCTTACAGACTTTTCCAGCCTCCCTGATTTGGAGACCCTATGTTTGATTGGATTTGTGTTACCACTGTTAGGTTCTCAAATACACATGCATATCATGTGCATCTTAAGATATCTACTAGTGTCTCACACACCACTGAGTTTACACAAGACATTCCAAAGACTGTGCTTCTACAAAGGTATTTGCCTTGCTTTTATCTTTTTTTTTTTCAATCTGGCATTAAGAATAAGTACATTATTTTAAAAATCTGAATGCTTGGTGCATATCCAGAATAGCATGGCCCTGTTGTGCATCTCACAGCCTCATGTTCCAGTTTGTTGTTGTCAGAATTGTGCTTACATGCATTCCCAGCACATGAAATCCCCTGTGACTTTAATTCACATGTGACTCTGGGGACAGAATTTGTCCCTGTCTTCCCAAACATTGAGACTTCATGGCCTCTGTGTCCACACTGAGCCAAATTCACTACTACGGAAGCCCCAAAGGGGCAGTGAGATCTTGTCTTAGGGTTATTTCCATAAGAACCCGGCTGGTAAGCAGATGAAGGGAATTGCCAACCCTTCCAAAGCTGCCAATTTTGGGGCTTCATTCACCTTCTTATGCTCCTGTGTAGTTACACCCTCATTCCTAGCCAATCTTCCCACTCTAGGAGCTCTCCACGTAAAGCCAGCATAAGTCTGCCCTGGGTGAACTTGGCCTGTTGTGGCAACACAGGCAATGGAATCTTATGCCTGTAACACACTGATTTATGGGGAAAGCCTCTGTATATCCAGAGTGACTTCAGTGACTATAGTAGGGTCATTCTAGAGATTTGACACCTGGGGTCAGAATTTTAGGCCATGGTGCTGCCAGAGACAGTCTCAGCAATGTCCAGACTTGAAACAGGCAAGCACAGATCACTCTGGCTACGTCTATGTTAAATACTTCTTGCCCAAAAAGCCTATTTGCGCAAGAGTTTTTCACAAAAAATGTCTTGCGCAAGAGCACGTCCACACCTCAAAGCACATCACAAAAGCAATGAGCTTTTGCACAAGAGAGTGTCCATACTGCATGGATGCTCCTGCACAAGAAAGCTCTGATGGGCACATCTATACTTCAGGGCAAAGTCAAATACTTAAGAAAGGTTACATCAATTGCGTAGCTGAAGTCGAAATTTCGGCTTTGGGACCTGTCTACACAACACTCTTCCTTCGACTTCCCTTACTCCTCCTGAAAAGGAGAGTTACAGGGGTCAGAGTTAGAAGTCCTCTGGCTCCACACTATTCAGAAATAGCAGCTTGCTGTGTAGACATCGCCTCTGTTAAGGCTCCCTGTGATCGGCACATCTGGCAGGTGAGGGTCAAGGGAACATTCATTCCAAACTGCCCCGGCTTTGTGTTCGCAACGCTCCCTGCTAGGCTGGGCTGGGGGCAGCGGCGTGGGACGATACCTGTCACGCTCCTCACGCTCCGGGCTTTCCCCGGCTAACCAAAGGCACTCGCCGGCCAGCGTCTAGCTTAACGCCTTCCCCCTACGGACAAAGGAGCGAGCTGAGTCAGAGCTCCCCGCCCCCCAGATGAATTTCCCAGTCCACGTGGCTGCGGGGAAGGAGCTCGCTCCGGGAGCCCAGCGAGCTCGTAGTGCATGTGCAGGCAGCTGCCTTTTCCGCGGAAGGAGCGAGAGCCCTCGGATCCCAGAGCCGGAGGCGGCGCTGCTGGCATCGTTGAGTGCTCAGGCAAAGTGCCCGAGCCAAAGTCCCCTTGTGCTCATGGCTGGCAGCCGCTGGTAACGCTCCCATTGGGCCTTCCTGCGACCCCTCCCCCCGGCCCAGAGCCACAACTGCCCTAAGGCGGAATCAAACCCGGAGTGAAGCACTGAAACTCCTGCCTAACAAGCCCAGCCTTGGCCTCCACGCTGCTCCCTCCCCTCCCCTAGAAGCAGACGGGAGTGGAAGACACGCTCGCTCTGAGTCTGGCTGGGAGCTTTCCCGGGAAGTTTGAGTCCCAGGGAGGCTCCTTTGGCGTTTTTCCTGTAGCCTGAGTGGTCATGGCTGTTCCGACTCGAGGCATCCATCCCCTGGGGGAGGCAGGAGCGTCAGCTAACCCAGAACCCCGCTCTAAGCCCGGAAAGCTTTTCGGGGGAAGAGTTTTGGAGGCGCCACTTTTCCTGAAATAAACCTCAAACGTGAGCAGGGGGCTGCCCTGCCAACCCAGGAGAACGCTCTGCCGGGTGTTAGTACAGCACGGGGGTTTCCTTTGCAAAGGGGAAGGCGGAATGCAACGGAGGGAGGATTGCTGTATAGAGGAGAAAGTAACCCTGGCCCGATTTATCCTGCACTGTTGTCAGATATGAGTTGGGGGTATTCTCTGCTGCGCCAGTAGGGGGAGCCGAGGGTCTTCCCAAGGCCGGAAGATTCCTAGACATCAACGCGGGGGTTAGATCCGATTAAGTGCGCCGCCCCCCACCATGTATCAGTGCTCAACAGGAGGACGGAGCCTGTTAGCGATTTTACACAGGAACCAAGCCACTGAAGTCCTGTCCAGCCCATTCACTTATTAGCGGGGTGGGGGAAGGGCCCTTCTCCCGAGCTTGCCTCCGAGACAGACACCGCATGTTTCGGGGGAGGACGGACTCCTCTTGGACCAAGTCCCTGCTCTGAGTTTGATTATTCCCAATATACCCAGAGAAAATCCCCCTCACTTCCCAAACTCCGTAACATGCCGATGTGCTCAGCGAACAGCTGGATTTTCAAAGCAATTGCTTCCAGCTATGACATAGGTTTTTCCCTTTCGCTCGTATTGTATTAAAATGACGGCCCCCCACCCTGTGACATTTAGCGAAATCTGGGATCGATCCAGTAGGATTGAGTAACAGCCATGGGCTTGAGGTTTGTAAATTTCACATGGCTAAATCCCCTGAATTGTTATGGGTACCTCCTAACTAAGCCGTTCCCCCAGGCTCGGAAACTCCCCTACAGCCAAGTGAGAACTTAACCAAGAGAAAGGGAAAGTTCCTTCATTATACATTTATGGGTAACAAATAATAATACGCGGCTCCTTTATTTGCCTTGCAATATATGTTCAGAGAAACGCCATAGATCCTTACGTTCGATTTTACAGTTGTTTCAAATCTGCCAAGTATTCGAAGGAAACTCCCTCTTTTGGGAGGAAAAAGCAGTGTTTAAAATATCTCCTTCTTAGGCCGGATTGTGCAGTGTGTTTAAAAGCTCCCCTCCCTCCAAAATATCTCCGAAGCTCACTCATTCAAATGGGCTCCGCTCTGCTGTGTGAATGATAGATAAATGGGTAGATCAAACTGAACGTGACAAGTGGGGTAATGAGAGAGCATGACCTCGCATCCTTCCGTGCAATCCCTTTGTGGGCAAAAGTTTGAAACAGGATTTAAACCGGTTCCAAGGGGGGGATGAACACGATCACAACCAGTGTTTCAGTTTGGGATTCTCCTTAGCAAAGGAGCTGTTTCCCGCCGTCTAAATTCCTTTAATTTCCTTCCTTGACGCTGCTCACTCACTCTCTAACAAAGGGGAAACCCAAGGACTAGGCAGAAAAGGCGGCGGCTTGTGTTCCCGAGGAGCAGAGAAGCGGGCTGCGGATGTAAGAGGGGGCGTTTTGCTCTACTAACCCTGTGGTCCTTTTTCTCTTCTCCTTCACCCCACACGCCACCCCTTGCCATGAAAATGGGGCTTAGAGAACGCCTGCTTTCTATCTCTGGAGGGATGCTAAGAGGTCCCCAGCTTCTCAGCCTGGGGCTGGCTTGAGTTCAGCTTCCCAGGGATACCAAAGAAATGACTTAGGAGGTAAGAAACTGACCTTATACTATTCTACAGGCAATTTAATCCCGATGGCTAGAAACGTTCCCCAGGACCATTCTTACTGCTCCTTCTGCGGTGGGGCTTTGTGTATTTAACACCCATACGAATAGCTCCTCGTTTCTCCCTTCTTTCAGCCTCCTGAGCCCCATTACAAATCAAGGTGCAGCTGTACCTTGCTAGCCATTCAACAACCAATACCAGAGAGTTATCTCACCGTCGTCACCCCCAAAATCATCTGCTCCCCATATGTCTTTGTTCTACTCGTTGCCCAGGAAATGTTGGGGCTCCCCAACAAAACCTTTTCGCTTTATAATTGTCCTTGAAAACTTCCCCAGATATTTACAAATGACCAGACATCTAATCTACCGCCACCTAAGCTTTTCAGTGCAACTCTTTGTCTTTGAAGGTACCAAGAGCACACAATAGTTTTTTATATTACCCGAGGGGGTTTCTAGCAGCCACATATAAAAATGCATAAAAAGGAGCATAGTTACCTTCAAAGGTAGTTTACTGCAGAGCCTGCAAAAAATCACAACGTGGTGCTGGGGCTAGTCCAGAATTCCCAGTGGCCGCATGAAAGAGTAAAATCCCTTGGTTAGTGCTGGAGGGAGATGCTGATTCCGGGGTCTCCAGCACTCCCCACTGGTGAGCACCTGATCCCAAGCTGCTGAGTCTGTACTGAGTTCGAGCAAAAGAAGGAGCAAGACAGCCTGCCTGCAAGTTCAAATGCGAGCTCGAACACCCATCATTACTACTATATCATTGTACCGTCAGCGCTGCAAGAGGAGGGGCCCTCTCTCCGAGAGGAGGGTGAACGCTCACACATGCTCTTGAAGAAGCCCGCAGCAAGAGCAGAGAGCTCAGAGCTCTGTAACACAGGGAAGGGGGCAGGAGCAGCCAGGCACTCCCTGCCCCTCCTCACAAAGTACCGAGGGGAGGATGGTAGCTGCTTTTTTCAGCCCAGCGCCTGATTTTGCACCCACAGAAGTTGCTCCCAGCCCTCGCACACGATGTGCTTTTGTGGAGTCCGCTCCTTGGGGGGAATCTCCCTTACAAGAACTCTCACGAGTCTATGAAGTAGCAACAGATCCTTTTGCCTGGCAAAGGAAACGGCGTGACACAAACAATTTGCTGAATCAAATTGTCGCTCCTACCCCATCTTCCAGCCAGAAAGTGACAGGCTAGATTTTGTCCCCCAGTGTGAAAGAAGCATTGTATCCCTAATTACATAATTAACTGAAAGAGAAGGAAGGCACTCCCCTATTGTGTCTTCCAACACCAGTTAAAGGAGGGAAGTGATCAGAATTATAATCACTGTTTTTCAAACATCTCAAGGGAGGTTTGTAATAAAAGAATGTATTGGTGCTTGTCTGTGCCACATTCACAGGCAATTTCAATCCATGGCACCAAGTCAGGGTTTCCCCCACTCCAGATTTACTCATCTCCAATCTCTCTTGAGATTAGATTAGGCATTTGCTGTCCAGCTCTCTTTAAAAGCATCTGAAGTCACCTTTGCAGTCTTGTAATCATGTTGGCCCCAGGGTATGAGAGAGTCAAGGTGCACACAAAGTCATTTTTAAACCAGTTTCTGTTGGTGAAAGGAGTGTTTTGTAGCTTCACAGAGCTCTTCTGCAGGCCTGGAGAAGGTAATCAGAGTCAGAGTATGAAGTTACCGTCACTGATCAAAAATCTAAATACACTGTCTTATAGGAGCCTTTACTAGATCCACTTGAGCAAAGGATCTGTTATTTTGTCCATGGAACTCTTTTAAAAATATATACATGTTTATTATAGGTATTTATAAGGCACACATAGCCGTAAATTTGGGCACAATATACCCAGCAAAAACAATTCCTGTCTGTAGGATGCCAATTCCACCATGGACCAGATTCTTGATCACATTTACACATGGGGGTGTAAATCCAGACTGAGTCAAATGGAGACAGTGAAGATATTTTGAATTCATGCCCCCATGTGTAAATGTGATCAAGAATCTGGTCCATGGTGGAACTGGCATCCTACAGATAGGAATTGTTTAGGCCCATGATTTCCAAGAAGCGAAATTGAGTGCCCATTGGCAGTTCTACTAGATAGTAGGGAAACTTTAAACAGCACTCATTAAAAAAAAGGTGTATCTACTGTTACAATGGCCAGGTTCCCAGTGGAGCAAATTTCTTGCTGTACATGCTATGAAAACCTGGATTTCAGGCAAAGCTTTCATGCCCAGGGAAAGGGAGGGGGCAGGACTCATGAGTCTCATTCATTTCAGCTGAAACAAAAAACAGGACTATGTAGCACTTTAAAGACTAACAAGATGGTTTATTAGGTGATGAGCTTTCGTGGGCCAGACCCACTTCCTCAGATCAAATAGTGGAAGAAAATTGGCACAGCCATATATACAAAAGGATACAATAAAAAAAAAAAGACTAACACGGCTACATTTCTATCACTCATTTCAGTTGGATATTTAAGAATTCCAGTGTCAAGGTAGGCCACAATTCTGAAGTATTTGCCACTTCAGGGTTATGGCTACAGATTTGGGGTTTTAGAGTCTTTGATTGCTGGTAGAGTTTTAAAGTCTGTGTGATGCTATTGTGTGTAATAACAGATGGTATGTATTTAAAAGCAACTTGTCCCTGTGTTTAAATTATTTTTGTATATTGTGTCATAAGAAAAGGGTTACTTTTACTGAGCATCCCCATTGCCCATTAAAATTAATGGGGGGGATGTCTGTTTGAAAAAAGAGACCAGGAAGTGTCTAGTTTTTCAACCCTTTAACCTAGTACAGTTTGTAACAGTTGTCACAGAGGTTTGGATATGTATGTTGATAGTAACAATGGGTTTGAAGACTTGAAAAGGCAAAGAAATTCATGCACATGGTTACACTTGGTCCAGTTTAAACCAACAGAAATCAAAACAATCAGAGTTAGTACTAAAACCCTTTATCTTCATTTCGCCTGGCTTATGGCTAAATACTGCAGCCTTATAGACTACCCTTATGACAGACAGTCCTTCCCTATACTGGGGCTGCATCAGCTGTAATGCTTCAGCACAATGCAGTGATTAAAGGAAAACCTTTCACCTTTCACTTTGAATTCCCTTGCTTATGTTGGTTTAAAGCCCTACTCCCCTACATCTCCCTCCCTCCCCCGTCTTGGGATCCTTGCCTGTAGATCAAACACTTCCATTGACATATGGGTAGAATATTTGCCAAGAGAAACCTGGTTCTCACGATGGGAATTTACTGTTCCTTTCAATTTGTTTCAGATTCATTAGTTCACAAGACGCCAGCAACGCTCACCTCCCTTTTCTGCAGCACCTTCAGCGGCTGAGGATGAATTAAACTATTTTCCTCTTGCCCCTTAAGGTCTTGCTAAGCTTTTTATTCACGTGTGCAATAGGAGAATCACGTTCCACTAGGAAGAACGAGGACAAGAGGGAAGTAGTTGAATGGTATTCATTTTCTTTACTGGTCTGTTCGCAGCCACTCACCGCGGGCTATTCAAATATTAATCATGACACGAAATTGGATAAGGGATGGGATATTATCGAGGTCAGACACCTCTTTATAGCCTAGGCCTTTTCTCACCTGCCTATTTTGGTCAGATATTAAACTGCTGTCTAGCTTTGCTATCCTTTTCTTGCCTGTCCCTAGGAAGTAGCGCTGGGTCGTGGGGAATCATGTCTGTCTTTTCACCCTCTCTCAGTCCTGCCAATTGAAGATTAAATAATTGCTCTTGGCTGTCAAAGCATCGGAGAACTCCTGCTTTTCTTTCACTCCCGGCCAGATCTGCCCTTCCCAACTGTCCAAGAGCGAGCCAGAGGGGAGTTTGAAGAATTACCAGCCTGAAGCCTTTGGCTACGTTTACAGCAAGGGGACACACAAAGGGGATGGGGGGGGACTACAGTGATCAGGCAGGGTCACCCACTACAGCGCTCTTTCGGCTTCCCCGCCCATCGCTAGCTGGGACTGGTGCGCAGCTGGGAACTGGCTTTTTCACTCTTCTCTTTGGTTTCTCTAATCTTTCAAATCAGCGTGTGGCTTGCTCAAAGCCCGGCCAGTCCCCTGCATTCAAACTCCCTTGCTGTCAGGGCCTGATCCTCTGCAGCGCACCATTGAGCGTGGGCTCAGGAACTCTGCAAAGCGGGCTGCAGTCCGAGCTCACTCGGTCAGCCCCAAAGGCCGGCGTCATCCAGCTGCAACCAGCCTCCCGCTGGGTCCGCGCACTCTGCTGGGACGTCTCGCGAGGAGGGGGGTACAGGGGGCGGGGCTCTCAGCGAACTGCGGCGCCGATTGGAAGAGCGAGAGCTTCATTCCGGGGAAACCACGATGCGAGGCGCCGCCCCCTCTCCCTGGCCGCGGGAGTTCACTGGCCGGGGCGGGCCTCCAGTGCCACCTCGCTGGGGGAAAGAGGCGAAGGGGCTTCCGCAGCTGGCTCGGTCCCTGCACATAGCGCTAGATCCCCTGCCTGAATGGGGAGCAGGGCTCCTAAGGCCCAGTCCGCCCCTTTCCCCCGCACCCACAATGCAGGAGCAGGGGGGACTCGGACTCCAGGGTCCCTCCTCCCGGGAGAGCGGCCAGAGAAGCCCTTCTAACCCCGCTCCATTCCCGGGAGACCCTACTGTAAACACAGGCTCCTTGGGGTCCTCCCCCGTCACAGCGGGGGGCGCTAATTGGGCTCAGCGGGGAGAGGCGCTGGATTCAGCCCTTACACCAAGGGGCCCGACGGGCTCGGGGAGAGCCGGTCCGGAGGTTTCCGGAGTAGCGATGTTTGCCAGGCAACTCGACCAGTCAGAGACAAGGGTCTTTCTCTCCTTTCCCCTTTGTCCTAAGGCAGCAGGGCCAGGCGACGCGCCTGCGTCCTCCCCTCCCCAGCCACAGAGACGCGTCCCCCTTGCTCGGCTGGCCCGGCTGCTAAAGCAGAGCGGCCCCACAGAGTCGGAGCTGGGCTCTCCGAGCTGAAGTTTCCCTCTGAACACAAGGAAGCAGCAGAGATCTTAAAACTGAGCACTTCAAGGACACGTCAGAGGGGAAGAGGAATGAGGTTGTTCTAGCGGGCTTTTGCTATTCATTTAATTAAGACACAATAGGACTGTGGGAGAGTCCCTAACACAAGGGAATGGGGGCTCTGACTTGCTGCAAGGGGAAGGAGGAATTGCAATTCAGTACAAATCATATGCACAAGACACACACCCAGAGCCTAATTTGTCCAAGGAACAGTGTAAACGCAATAATAGCTCCAAGTTTTCATCCTCGTACCAACAGGACTCACATTGCGATAGTAAATACTGATGTCAAGCCGCTTCAGAATCTAGGAATATGAGTCAAAATACAGGACTATGGCTGATTTTAAAAGTAAAATTCACTAGCAAGAGGGTTTCGTGCGCTTTAACAACGCCATCAGCGTTAATTCTATTATTTTAACTGCTAATAATAGAATATCTAGATTGTGACAGAGCATTCTATAAATAGTATGGCCCCTGATTTTAAAAGCCCCAGATAGTATAAAGAGTTTTTGTTTTCTGACTGGCTGCTGCTCTCTTTTCAGCAAGGGAGAAACTGGTTATAGAGAAATAGTGAAACTGACTACCCAGAGACAGCTATTGAATGTACAAAGTAAAAAAAAAAAATTATATCTATCAAGTGTCTCAACATTCAGCTTAGAAATTGTAAGTATTATTTAAAACTACACTAGATAGCACATTTTAAAACCCAAATGAAATTTTGGAACCGACATGCTCCTTTAAATTTAACGCATATACTCTGGGACAAAGGGGCTCAGAAGAGTAATATAGGTAAGTACCATAGGTTACTCCTGTTTCTTGTTTGCACAGTATACTTCAATCATTCGGTGAAGGTTGGGGGGTGGGGGAGGAAGTGATCCACAATTTCGTCAGTCCAAGACGAAAAGAAAACAGAAGAAGGAAACTGATTTACTCTAGAGACCCT